TTAAGAGGCAGAGAAAGCTGGACTTCTGGCTCTGTTGCTGATTGTGATTCACATCGGCTTGTATCATGCTTCACTCATTATCATTAGCACGTCGAACAGACCGGAAAATTATGTGGAAATCACAAACGCTGCAGTTTTGGTTTGAATATTAATTTTAATGAAACCGTCAGTGTTTTTGACAGATGAAAAACGTCGGTTTTATGATTTGGTGCAAAAAGAAATTGCATAATTAATTCCACGTGCATTTTTATAAGTGGAACTGTAAGAATCTCCTATTGGTTTGGATTATTTAATCATCTCGAACAGTATTGTGTTTACTACCAAAGTTCCTCATCAAGGCTGAGTAGTTCATTTGGTGTGCGAAAAAACTTAAACGTTTAAGGGCATGGTTTAGTTATTATCTGGAGTCTGGCTGCAGTCAAGGCCCCACTAGAAAAACAGGCCATGCTGCAGGATCCATGACGTCACACTTGTGGATAGATTCACTGCCATATCCCGTTTGTTCAAAGTAAATAAGCTTGGCTGTTTGTCAGATTTTAACGGTAAGATTTTAGTACAACTATCCACCACTGTGACGTAGTATTGCTTTGCCTGCACTGCAGCATGGCCTGTTTTTCTAGTGGGTCCTTGCTACAGTCTTGGTCCCGATCAACAGGTGAAAATAAAGAGGTCTTCTGTTTTGAATGCTTTTCGCGCAATCAGTAAAAGAACAAGTTTATCATAGTTGATTTATGAAAACCAACAGTTGCTCTGATTCGGATTTAAGACAAATCATATTGAACTAATACATGCATGTTCCAATGCTTAGTTAACATTGCCTAACACATAACAATATTAGGCTATATTCTTTATAAACATACACAGAAATCATTACTCTGTGGAAAACTTCTCCTAAATTTAACACTTATAAACAAACATTGGATGTATAAATTTAATTCCACATTCATTGTGCACATACAGTACAGAGTGTCCATAAGCCAAATGTTTCAAATGGAAGTTTCAACCATTCTTGCCATTCTAGAAAAATTAGGACACGCAATAACGCTTTATGTGTGTTTAGCTTTTAGCAAGTTTCCCTTAGAGGGAAGATGCTACGTAGGAGGTATGGTAAGATTTAGAACCGAGACCGTTTAAATTTTTCTTATTGATGTTCACAAAATGCTAAATACATTGTATGTCTGTCCGAGAAAAGGATAACTTGAGCAATATTGGCACGATTTTGATTAAATTTGGTATGAACGTTTAGGGTTGGTTACACTTCAATGGGTTCACAAACCAGCAAGATTGGGTCATGGTTTAAAATTTTTAATGGTAAATTTTTCAAATGTGCACAAAGTTAAAAAAATGTACGCCTTCACTTGAGTTACAAGGATGTATTCTCATGACAATGAACACAGGAATAGGAAAAATTCTGTCACAAGACCTGTACTGGGCGGTGAATGTGGAATTGAGTATAGGATTGGAGGAGAACATGTGGACAATGTAAATACAATAGTTACATGGCATAGTTATTTTAGCATAGACTGCAGTCATAGTTCTACTGGATAACCTTCCATTGTAGTACACAAACTTTTCATCTTGAAAAGTCTATAGCTGTAGTGTAACCTAAATAAAGCCTTCATCCATTGATTTTGAGTAAAACCAGTAATTAATTGTCATACCTGTACCATAGAAAAAGACTTAGCACAATGCGTTCACAATGAACGCGTGGGTACGTTCACAATAAAAGCTGGTTACAAGCCCTTGCAAGCTCCAATGGGCATTGTTTACATTGTATCAAGCGTGTGCGTTCACTAAGCCTATCCCGGCTAACAAGTGCTTGCTACAAATTCTGACAAGCACGCAATAGAACGTTTCCTACTTGTTTTCCGGCTCTTGTTGACCAAACCAGTCAGGGACAACTGTGCAGTACCGATATGTATGTCGATGAACTGATTGATATCTCAAGTCTTTAGACGAGGGGATATTTGGGACAAACAATTCCCCAAAACTTCACTAAAACACTTTCAATTTTCTCAAGATGTAACTAAATGTGTTTAAATCCTTTCTCATATCCAGAAAAAAACCTTACTTTGTCCAATTTCAATTGAAGAAATAGATGGTGGTATTCCCCAAAACTACATCTTCCGCAGATAATTGCATGAACACAGACTTTCCATCTAGGAATATCAATTCAACGTTGCAACAAGCAACAACCAAGCAAAAATAACTCTTCGTCACTTGAGAAAGACAATGTCTTAACCAAAGCTGAGAAAACACTAAGCTTGAAATGCAAGCGTATGTTGTGTACACACAACAATTGGAGCAAGCGCTGAAAATAAGTTACTTGTAACAAGCTTTCTTTGTGAACGCACTCTTATTGCCATGTCATGTGCTTACCAATACAAAACACCCTATGTCACATTGTCAACAATGTGTACTGTATTTTTGTTAATATCCCAATAAAATTTTATTGAAGAAAGGGAACTGTGGAAGAATTGGTGACGATAAAGATACCTAGGTCAGGAATAATGTAAACAGAATAAATGTAAAATGATTGGTTTGTATGTACTTAACAAAGGACAGTATTAATACCTACTATAGAATTACTTCTAATCAGTATGTTTAACAGTTAAAGGTTTATTTAAAAAGGTATTTAAAGTTTAAGGAACCTTAAACGAAGACAAGTTAACAATGTACCTTATGATATAGTATCACCAAATAACTTTAACGGCTTTTGTAAGAGGTTGGGGGTCTCTTTTCATCTTGGATTTGCCAGTTCGAGGCCTTGGTTTGGTACGTGAAACGTATCCAGCAAAGCAAGGGGTACAATACAAGAGTGGACTTTACCGGTAAAAAGTAATGGCAGGTACCAGGATCCGAATCTACGACACGCTGTCTCAGGCCGTCCATGACGCTACTGACTGAGTCAATGACATAACAATCAATTGTTCTGCAAACTGTTTCTTGTGTGCTTTGTAGAATTGTAGGGTATTTTCTATGAATTTTCTGTATTCTCTAAACATTGTCCACCTCATCCAGTACCTAATCCGAGTTTTCTAGAAGTAACATTGATTACAAAATATAGCCTACTAGATGTTCTGTAATAAAGAGTAAGTTAAACCTGGTTGTGGGGGTTCAAAAAATGGTATTATGCTGATACTCATTGGTGTTACAGAGTTCCGTAGCCTACATATCTTCTCAGTGTAAGGCAAGATTGCATAGGACAAGTGAAAGAAATACCAGTGAGTACGGATGGCAAAGCGATAAATAGCCTAAACTTTAAAACGAGTTTTAGCGAGTTTGTTTAATTTAAAATTGAATTAGGTTGGATCGTAACGTAAGGTTATCCTTAGAGGTGAGCGACATTTACTGTGATATAACAATTACCGAAGTGTCACCTGTTGGAATAGATTTCTGAGATTCCCTAAAATGTTTAGGCTTATCTTCAGGGGAAGTGAATCAACTTAAATAGTTTCTTATTAAATGGCGACCATACAAAGTAGGTATTTTAAGCCAAGTATGAATGGAGATGAGTGTAGGATGAGTGCCGTGATCTTGTAGTCTTGTTAGTGACTAAGGCCGACATTCCTTAGACACAGCTGTTAATTAATAGCCCATACAGCTAAATGGCAACCAAGGGACCTTTTGCCTTGGTATATACGAATTGGTCTAATTATCAGGATAGTACTGCGGATAGTCTATTCCACTGATCGTGAATGCTTTTGAAGCAAGCATCACAAAATGATAGTAGGCTACCTTAGTATAAAATTACTGAGAATACCATGCTAACATAACCATAATAACCATCATGTAACATCTTAACTGTTAAAATGAGCAAGTGAAATACCGCGCTGATATTTCCTTCTTATTAACAGCGACCAGCTGAAAAGTACTGGATATCAAGTCATAGGAGACAAAAATAAATAGTGTTATTTCCCCTATTACAAAAAAAAACACAAAAAAATAACTAAGAAACGTTCATGATTATTGCAAAGTAACGGTATTTCCCATAACTAGTAAGTTAAAACCAAACTCAACTCACCACGGGCACGGCTAGCTGTGCCTGGATATGACTGATTCTAAATCCCAACTGACAACGAACATTTCTTGTACCAGTTGCAAACAAATAGTACTTACACTTTAATTCAGTTGTAAACTCTTGTAATTTGTTAATAAACATCTCTTATTTTTGGAATAATGTACCTTCAAGTTCCCAATATAGAAAGACGGAGTTTGAAAAAATAAGTACCGGGACTCTATAAAGCCAATGAGTATGTAAACAATCAAAGAATACTTCTTTTGTACATTATTTGCCATAGAAGTAGGGTGGAAATCAAGTAGGCCTAAAGATAAAGAGGATAAAATACCTATAGTAATTTCTATTTGGAGAATTTTCCTACCAATTAATTTAATTAGAATAAAATTATCAGAATGGCACTCCATAGCAAAATGTAACAATTGAACAATTTACTTTGAAAACTTCACAACTATTTACTTGTGAAAGTAGTTCAAGAATGTGTGGAATCCCCCCCCCCCCCATCACCATTGATACTGGGAAACAGTAGAAGAGGAAGTTCCAAAAGTGCAGACTGTTATCATGCCAATGTTATCTAACTTATCACATTTTAAACTTTCAACCCAAACATATAATGTAAACAATCGAATGCCTAATAAATTCCACCAACCAACAATATATTTTGCCGATGCATGTATTTTGAATGTGCTTTGTTTACATTGTTGTTTGTGTACGTTTTGGCGGCAAATTCAAAACAAGTACACAAGTGTAAAATGTAGTTAAGTTTATAAGTCAAAGGGATACTAAACAAAGTGTGACGGAACGATGTTTCACAAAGATATAGAGGCCAGTAACAAGCAAACACTCAGAAAGTAAAAGTATTTCTCCCAATTTCGCCATGTACACTAATTAGTGCTTATCAGTGGGAATGCCAAACACAGTACCGTATTTATATAACGAGCGACTCATACAGGCTATGCACCTACCTTTCTTTATGACCTACCCTTTTCAGCTGAGAATTGAGAATATTATGAAGTTCATTTTTAATTATGCTGAACTTCATCAGCGTGTCGGAGCTGAAGATGGAGGACCCGAACGCTAGGCCCGGGTAGTCTGCACATCTTCTTTTCCTCCGCCGCTGTTCTCGCTCGGCTATAACCTCTGTTCGTTCGCTCGGACATCGTAGTTTCGCCAACTCCTCCGTCTCCTGATCCTGTTCTTCCTTATCGTTATCGCTGAAGCTGCTTCCATCGCCGTCCAGTCGCTGAGGCAACCCTCCAGTGACGTCATTGTCCAGATCAGCTGATGAGTTGTCTGCGTCTGCACCAATCACAGTTCGCTCCTGTACCGCGGGTGACACAATCACTTCGTTGACCCTAGCAGCACTGTTATCACTCGTGGACGCTTGTTGTTCGTTGTTCTTCCTTCTCGCCGACTGTGGACCGTACCTGTGAACTCTTGAGCCGTGTTTTCTTGGGCTGGTTTTGTTTTGGTCCGCCATTCCTCGTCGACGAAGTGCATTATTTCTCTCGTTCTGCCATCTTGGTTGTGAATGAGTCGGCAACGACTGTGGCGCTCTCCGACGGACGTTGCCGGAACTAGATTGTCTGCTTCTGACAACTAGCGCTAGCTGTGGCGGCATCTCGCGGAGAAGCCGCGAACTAATACGTCACTCAACAATGCCGCAACAATGAAAGTCTAATCTTTTGTTACCAAACTATATCTTCCAGATTATACTGATAATCCGTCAGGCTTTAACTCTATCAAAATACGAGTCCACAACACTCCACAAGAATAAATTATGTTATTTATTTCCCAGTAAATATCACAACTACATTAAGTTCTCATTTGAAAGGTTTTTGGAGACTGGCGATCTACAGCACTACGACGAGCATTTATTCACTTCCACTTCGTTATAAAAAGAAAATTGTTCATGCAATTTTCCAGTACGCCCTCGTTTCCTAGCTGCGGGAGGAGCCGCGCCATATTTGGACGGAGCCCAGGCGCCTATTTCTGACTCGCCCCAGCGAGGGGGTATTTTTAGCGGCAAAGAGGCGATACGGTTTCAAAATTCCGTGACGCACGCGTTGGCGTGGTTCAGACATTGCTCGCATTTGCGACGTAGATGTATCCTTGCGTGGATGTCATGTGGCACTAGATCACAGATCGACAAATGGGAATGTGTTTTTAATGTTGCAACCCCATACTGTCTGGTGATAGAGTGACTGAAGTCAGGGCTAGGGAGCAAGGAAGACCGAAATAAATTCCAAGTAGACGTGAGGGAGAGGAACATGACGCCTGCATAGCATTTAAGATGACGAGAAGTACAATTCATAATCACGTAACAAAACATGACTGCCAAGAATGATCCCTTGAATCGCGAAAAGAGAGCTACATCACAAAATTTCGCTTTGAAGATAAATCGTCTTCAGAGTGTTTCAAAATCTACAATACTTAATATTTAGAAGTATAGAAAAATCTAGAGTAGATTAGGTGTACCAAAATAAAAACAAAAAATACAAAATAATTATGTACTTTGTTTTTATGTTTCTCTTCGACGTTCTACTTTAGAGACATTCCCGGATTTTATATGCTCTAATAATCGTGGAGACAACGTTGAATCACCGGTAAAACCAAATAGAACTTGTACTTTCTAAATATTCTACATTAATTCGTACAGTGATCTGTCATGGTGAAAACGAGTCTTGCACGACCGATCTTTATAAGATATCTTGTATCATATAAAGATATGGATTGATCCAGAAACAAGAACAACAATTTAACCCTTGTAAACACTTTGGGTCGCCGGAATTTTATCCCCCTGAAATTTTACCCCCTGGGCAAAGCTGACGTCACTATGACGTAGTAACCTGAGCGCTCTCAAGTTTGCGGGCGGAATTTTACCCCCGCTGATTTGGGAGTAGAGTATAATGAAAATAGACAGAGCGTGATAAATGAGATTAGCAATAAAAACCGGAATTTTACCCCCTGTCCATATAACTAGCATTTAGATGTAGATGTACAGCCCGGATTTGTACCCCCGGAATTTAACCCCCTATGCAGATATAGAAATTAGTGAGAATAATTAATTTTCTTTTTTCAGTATTGATTGAATGGTAAACATTTTATTTTTAAGTAGCCTATCCTAATCTATTTGTGACCTCAACACTAAGTAAACAAGTTTCGCTTTTTAATTTCGAATATAATAAATCGTTAAAGAAATATTAGAAACAAATATCATTATGGGCTACTCAGTTTATTTACATACATCTTCACCAACAGTTGGCCCCAAAAATCGAATCCCAACACTCGAATCTAAAAATAAAACACAAAACCTGTTTCATTAGTTGAGGTGATGAATCAAGATAGGCTACTTAATAATCAAATGTTTACTATAAAATAAGAACTGAAAGAAGAAAATAAATTACTCTCACTCATTTCTATATCTGGGCAAATGGTAAAAATACGGGGGTTAAAATTCCGGGGTTAAAAATCCGGGCTGTACATTTTGAACTGACCTCACGAAGGGGGTAAAATTCCAGGGGTAAAATTTCGGCCTGTACACTCTAGGTTTTATAATTTGATGTGTTCTGATTAAATTCACAACCGTGAAAATATACGTTTAATTCCACCTATAATTTATTAAACTGATAAACTGATCTGCAACTTAAAATTTTGCGACCGGAATTTTATCCCCAGGTTTGTAACGTCAGTTTTGCTCAGGGGGTAAAATTCCAGGGGAGGATAAAATTCCGCTACTCTTTAAGTACCGGTACGACCTACGATTAAGTGAGTTTTTTTTGCTTATTAGAGTTTTTATTTGAGAATGTTTGTAAAAAAAATAATGTACATCCACGCCTAGTTTCGGATAATATTGTCTAGTAAGTAATAAGAGATTCCCCAAATCAAGAGAAATTCATATCATTTTTCATTTAATTTTGTTATGAACTAAAAGGAATTTTGCACATTTTATAAAGTTGTACACTAAAAACAAACTTGGGTGTTAATGACAAAAACGGTTACTTTGGCGTTCAATTTTCATGTGACATCGCATTTAAAATGTAATTATTAAAACATAGTTCTTGATAGTAGACATACATACAAAACTGTTTGTTTAACAACCCTGCCTATCTAGACAAACATGAAGATCTAGATGTTCGCTAAAATCTCCCTGTATAAAAAAATATTGCAATGACAATTCAAAAACGTCTGCTTCATTTTCGATTTTAACACAGGTTCACAAATCTGTTGCCCAACTCCAAGCATTTTTGTTTTTCAAAGAGTTTTCCCAGTTTTCAAAGAGAATGCAAACACTTAAAATTTAATAATATATCTTTATAAAAAGCGTCACAGTCCATAAATTCTTTGGGAGAATTAAGAAAATTTGACAGTTTTAATAAGGTAGTCTATTACAAAAATATATACAGGGTGGCTGAAAAGTAACTTGTACCCCCCTTAGCTTTTCAACCATTTGAGATATTTGAAATCTGTTTGCGGCAACCTTCTTAGATATGAGGGGCTACAATAATTATAGTCAATTTTGAAAATTTTGCCCTTAGGGGTAGTGGGGGTAGGGGGTAGCTCAAAATTTTCAAACGACAAGTATAGTCGAGTTTGGTGGAGTTAGGTCTTGACGAAACATAACAATTAACATAAAGAAAATAGAAATCGGAGCATTAATAACAAAATGGCAGTTCAAAACTACTTTAAATAACCATTGTCTCAATCATTTTTAGCTGCCATTTTGTTATTAATGCTCCGACTTCTATTTTCTTTATGTTAATTGTTATGTTTCGTCAAGACCTACAAAATGATACCAAACTCGACTATACTTGCTTTTTGAAAGTTTTGAGCTACCCCCTACCCCCGCTACCCCTAAGGGCATAATTTTCAAAACTGACCATAATTATTGTAGCCCTTTATATCCAAACAAGTTGCCGCAAACAGATTTCAAATATCTCAAATAATCAAAAGGTTAAAGAGGGTGCAAGTTAATTTTTTTTGCCACCCTCATGGTTATTTGGATTTGAAACGTTTTAGGGTGCCATTTTGTTATTAGTGAGCCGATTTTGGTTTTCTTTATGTCAATGTTTATGTTTCGTCAAGACCTGTAAAATGATACCAAACTCGACTATACTTGTCATTTGAAAATTTTGAGCTACCCCCTACCCCCACTACCCCTAAGGGCAAAATTTTCAAAATTGACCATAATTATTGTAGCCCCTCATATCTAAGAAGGTTGCCGCAAACAGATTTCAAATATCTGAAATGGTTGAAAAGCTAAGGGGGGTGCAAGTTACTTTTCAGCCACCCTGTATATAACACCTGAAAGTATAATTTATTTTTGTAAAAAAATACAACCGACTTCAAACGCTCTAAAAAGAATGAAATAATTTCAATAAAGTAAACTTTTGTATTAGGCAAGCTCATGTATTTTAAGTAGGTGCGGCTCTATGATGATTTTTGATACACAATTGAAAGAGGGTGTCCATATTGCAGGTGACTATCTATAACTAAAGTTGTTAATCTGCATGTCTTTTTCATAGTTATGCGTTAAGTGTTATTTTATTACCGTAATCAGAGATCGGCATTATAGTGGTATTAACGAGCATCTTTAAAAAAGATTATAACGCATTTAAATGTTTCTAGCATGGAAAAGTAACGTTTTAATACCAAACTAGCTTCTTTTCCCTATCATAATATCAAACTAAATCATTTTCCTATTCATATAGAACATTTGTGTGTGTTATTTTCATAATGCATTTATACTGAAGTAAACATAAAATACAAGAAAATATTTCCTTTAATATATAAACAAAACAGTTCAGTATGTTTTATATATATTTATGTTATCCAGCTGCAATTTATTGATTTTTAAAATACACACACAATATTTAATTTCAATCATATTTGCAGTTTGAGCCGCGCCGACTTGAAATACGTGATCTTGCCTAATACATAAGTTTACTTTATTGAAATTATTTCATTCTTTTTAGAGCGTTTGAAGTCGGTTGTATTTTTTTACAAAAATAAATTATTTCATGATTTTTAGTGACTGTATAATTTTTTATATATTAATTACTTGAGGTTTTTTGACAAGCAAAACTATTTGAAACAATCAAAAGTTCCACAGAACAATCATTATTTTAAAACTGCTTGAGTCACCTGTTCAGGTTACAATCAATGGGTATGAAAATGAACATTTTTAGATATTCCTTAAGAAAGAAAGTGTTGTCCATTACATTAGGCCTAATGAAAAACTAATTGTCTTTTCTTGATACATAGAAATGTCAGACATCATCAATTCCTGAAATCGGTGTGCTTCTACATTATAAAAAGAAATACAGTAACGTCTCAAGCGTTTTGGAACAATATGAAAGTTATTCCTCAGCTACCAGCACTAAAAAATCTCTCAAAAGTGGAAAATTGGTTGATAACACGTATAGTACCTTTGGAAAATATTATATGAAAGATTGGTTCAGCTAAAAGTGGTGTAAGTAATGTAGGGGGTTTTGTTTGCTCAAGATATAGCCTAGTCGAAATTGCAAATCATCTTCCTATTCCGCGATTACCTGAGGTTAAACTACTTTCACATTGCAAAATATAATTGTATTTTGAACAGAATCTCGATTAAAAGGTAAATTGACTCGTTTTCCGATTAAATTTAACTCCAATAAGTCAAACGCATCCTACTTTAAAACGAAAATGAGCGAGTCGCAAAAAAAATGAAAACAGCAAAACAAACCTCCTACAAATCCTAGAATCCACGGATATTGTAACATGAACGGTATGTATAATAAACATAAACAAATGACGTCACTGGC